TAAAGCAACTAATTCTGCTGCAAATACGGAGATGTGGTCAGTTATTCTTTCTTGATGCTTATTTGAAACTTAGGTATATATACAGCAGCTGCTGTTCTTCCAGATATAGGATCCTTAATCCATCAGTAAATATTTGCACCCATGATGAATACTTCTGTTCTAAATACTGCTGTGCTATAATATTCTTTGGGATATCTTTTCTTATTTTTAATTTCCATATGAATTTGAAGATCAATTATTGGCCTAGGAAACAACCATGGTGGGATACTGGGTAAAATCACTGTAGGGCTTACATTACAATCTTCAATACCTGCTTCTTTTGCTTCTCTTTGAACACTCCATCCCAAGCTTTTAATGTTTTTATTCCATGTTCCCAACATCTTCTAATACCCTTCACAGGATGATTCTTTTTATGACCTTTTATATTAACCAATAGTTCAGTCTTATTTTATGTCTTCGAAATTTTAACGGAGCAACACCAACTTCTACCTGTAGTGCTGCTATGGGAGATGATCTGACTGCACCACAACATATTTCTAGAGCTTGATTTTGTATTGCTTCTATCTTTTTGAGTGTATCTCATTTGCATCCGTAAACTATACTTCCGTAATCTATACTTGATCTAATTAAAGTATTATAAATTCTTTTCAACGATAACCTACAAGCCCCCCATTCTACCCTGTTAAACATCTTAATATATTTTACCCTTTTTTACATTTCTTAAATCAGATTTTTAGCATGTATAGAAAAAGTCATCCTGGAATCCATCCACACACCAAGATATTTGACCACCGGCACTTGCTCCAATTCCTGCTTATACAACTTTAACCTGACCTCTGGTATTTTTTTCTATTAGTAAAACATATAACCTGGGTTTTAGCCACAGATAATCTAAAAACTCCAATTATCTGCCCACCCCTCTACTTCGTCCACTGCTTTTTGAATACTTTGTGTTACACTTGCAATATTACGACCTCTCTTCCATATTGCCCCATCATCCGCAAATAATGCTCTTCCTACATCTCCTTTATATTACAATAAACATCATTTATCATAATATTAAATAAAACTGGGCTGCATACACTTCCTTGAGGAGTTCCGTTCTCTATTTTATATATCTCTGAATACTCTACTCCTATCCTAACTTGAATTGTTCTTTCAAGAAGAAAGTCCCTAATCCAATTTTACATCTTTCCTCCTATTCCCATACATTTAATTTTTATTAATAGTCCCTCTTTCCAAAGCATATCATAGGCTTTCTCAATGTCGAACAACACCCCTACCACTACTTCTTTATTAGCTTGAGCTTTCCTGACATCTGCTTCCAAGCTTAGCACAGCATCCATAGAATTTCGCCCTACCCTAAATCCACTTTGATATGGTGACACAAGTCCTTTAACCTCCAATATATAATTTAATCTTCGTACAATCATTTTTTCCATCAATTTACATAAATTAGCGGTTAGTGCAATTGGCCTATAATTAATTGGATTTGATTTATCCTTTCCAGGTTTGCCTATGGGTATTATTATTCCATGTTTCCATGAAGATGGAAGCTTTCCTTCATTCCAGATCTTATTAAATAAATTTAAAACCACTTTCAATGATCTATCTGACAAATGTTGAATCATTACATAACATATATCATCTCTTCCAGGAGATGTATGTTTGAATCAGACATCTTTGTCTTGGAGAGGATTATGGTGGCCTGCGCTTCAGGTGCATTTAGCAGCGCCACCAATTGGCCAGGAGGACATGTAACTACTGACAGTATGAACTATAGACTGTAAAAAAAAAAGGTATGAACCGGTAGTTGAAATTCAACAGCCAATGAATACTTTTATCTGAAAGTATAAAACATTTATCTGAATTTATTTGCTCTGAATTCACCCCTTTGAAACTATTTTACTTTGGAAACCATATCGGAATGTATTTGTTTCGAATTTGCCTCTAAAATTTAAATAGGCATAAACAATTCTTGATTTCTATTTTAAAAACCTGCATTTCGATTAATATTTTTTTCAATGCTCACAAATTCAGATTTAAAGGGATACTCCACTTTTTTTTGGAAATATGCTCATTTTACAACTCCCCCAGAGTTAAACAGTTGAGGTTTACCGTTTTCGAATATCAGTTACCAGACAGTTTCTGGTCTCACTGACTTCCATAGTATACTGTATACTATGGAAAGTCAATGAGACCAGAATCTGTCTGGTTGATATTCTTCTAAATATCAGAAAATCAGATGAATGGATTCAAAAACAGTAAAACTCAACTGTTTAACTCTAGGGGAATTGTAAAATGAGTCTAATTCCAAAAAATTGGAGTATCCCTTTAAAAAAAAATCAAGTTACAGAATTTCAGATAAAATACATTCAGGTTGATTAAATTTGATTGGTCAAATTCAGATCTCAAAAATGACTGCTCAAATTCAGATCGAAAATTTTGAATGCTCAACTTCATATCGAAAAATTCAAGTTAAATATTCACATGGACCAGGCTACCCAGGATAGGCCACGCAGCGTGGCCCACGCCCACACCGGGGTAGAACAGCTGTTTTACAGTTAAATTATTTGTTCATAATTAAATTTTTATTCAAATAAACATCAAACAACCAAACAGCTAAAAATAATTTCTATGAATCATTTCTATTACTTGAATGAGCTCAAAGGAATTCTTCATGTTTGCCAAGTAAGCTAATTTAGTTTTTCCTTGCAATGGAGTCAATGGAGAGATAATATGGAAAGCATTATGTTGAAGAACTACATTCAGCAATTATATTTCTCATTTGCACAAACACTCATAGAATTAGCCTTCACTGTTTCACGTGATCCCACATATGACAACATTAAACATCTTATATGACTAATAGAGTAAACAAATAGGCAGATGCAGTTTTTTTGAGTGATCTCACTGTCTCTAAAGAGATAAAAATCTTTTCTTTTTTACTACCCTATGGGCCCATAAAGAACTGAGACACTGTGTCCTCAATCACATGGACTGCTATCAGTCTGTCTATGGAGTAAATGACTCAAGCCAACAATAATATTTAAACAGGAATAATATAGTGGCTCACGTTCTGTAATGCAAACGCACTGACTTGAAAGCTTTGTCATATGTACATGCAAAAAGAAAGCATTGTGGACTTAGTGGTTAACTGGAAGCATATGGTTAGCAATATTCAATTTGTATAACAAAATGTAATATGCAAAATGATAATGCAATATGTAAAATGACAACGCAATATGTAAAATGGTAATGTATTTCTGTTTTTAAATTTACATTTTCATCATCACATTTGTGCAACGCATTGGTGCAAAAGGAAAAATTAATTGTATAATTTACATTTGTCATTTCATAGTTTTAATATGTAAATTGATCACATATTTTAACTCTTTATACGTTGCTAAATTTAAATTTATTACAGAAATTACAGAAATGTTTAAGCAAAAACTGTAGCAAATTGTCATTTAAATTTTATTTTTCTTAATTGCATTTACACTCACAGTTTACACACACTTGCAATTGCATCTTCATTAAATGTTCAATGTGCGAAACGAGAATTAAAAAAAATGCATTCCGAGCCGATCCCTTTAACACTTCGCCTCGCCCTGCCTTGCCCTCTCCCGCCCTCTCAATCACTGCATCAAGAAAATGGCTCAGCAACAGGTAGCCTAAATATTTGTCACATATTGTGAGGTGTTGGAAGGAAACATTAAACATTAAATGATCATTTTGCTACAGTTTTTGCTTGAACATGTTAAAATATCTAATCATTTCTGTAATACATTTTAATTTTGCAACTCATAAAGCGTTAAAATATGTATTCAATTTACATATTAAAACTAGTGTATGAAATGGCAAATGTAAAGGATATAACTGAATTATAATTTTCATTTGCATCAAACGTTGCACAAATGTAATGAAAAATGTAAGTTTTTCATTGCCATTTTACATATTGCATTATAATGTTGCATATTTTATTTCAAATTGAATATTGCTACCCATAGTTAAGAAGGATGAAATCATTTTGCATATTTCATTTCAAATTGAATATTGCTACCCATAGTTAACAAGGATGAAAACATTTGAATGTATCAGTTTCAGATTATAGACAGAAAACAAATGTGGAATGTATCCGAATCTCGATAAAGTTTTTTTAAATACTCGGATTCCACACATAGGCTACACACAAGCAAACTTCCAGTCTTCTGTCCTTACATCCAGCTGCAATCATTTTATTTTGATAAATGCAATTTATCATCACAATACAAACATGAATGTATTGACATTTATGAAAAGAAGGTGCATACATTCACCTGGTTTGTGAGCTCGTTTGCATGTGTTATGCTCTCACTGTACATGGGGACTGATTTGCATGGAGATCTGGAAGGCTGTGTACAGTCAT